CCGGCCCGAGCGGGTGGGGTTGCTGCCCAACATCTTATACCACCTCGTCATAAATGAGCAGTAAAGCAATAAATCCCTTTAAGCCTTGAACTACCTTTGTACTTGTCTGATTTTTTCCCCCCTCCTTTGGCTGCTCGCCCTTGATGGTCTTTTACTGTATATGACGAAAAGCTCGTGGGCTCTTGTAATAATAGTTGCCATTTATTGTGGTGATCGTTGTTAAAGCTGGGGATTGCTGGGTTGCTAGGGACTTCCTGATATGCTCCTTCCCTCATCCCTCCCCTTCACTGCATGGGCTGCTCCCTCATTTTGTCTGTGTGCTTCGTTTTGGCGCTCTAGTGCTGGAAAACCCCCAAGTAAGCCAAGGATTTTCTGAGAAGTGGCAGGAAAACTCCAGAACTGGCTTCAGAGCAGCCTTTGTGCTGGCAAAGCAGCTTCAGCACAAGTGAAGCTGTTTTGGCTGAGACATACCAGACTCTAGTTTAGAGGCGGAGCGGTATATGAATTAGGGTTACCAAACTGGGACAGAAGAGACACACATTTTCTTTTCTCCTTATGCTTCAGATCTTCATTTATTAAATAAAATCCCTTAACCCAGGCACAGATTAGGATGCTGGAGAGGACACAGGCAGTGACTGCTGGAGATGGTAACACAGGTTGCAGAGAAGCCCTTTCTTTTTCAGGTCCCTGCTGAAGTACTTGACAGCATCACTGATGTTGAATAGCTAAATACCAAAACACAGTTCTACAGATGGAAAGCTTCTTCTGCAACGAATGCTTATGTCTCTACGTGTGGGAAGAAGTGGTGAAAATACCAAAAAAGACTTGCCTTTCACACAGGCCTTTCTGTTTCCAAGTGCTTGAGCTTCACACTGCTTTGTCATGATAGCATGAGTAACAGGACTTTTAATTTTAGTTTTTTTCATAATTAGAGTTACTTAACTGATTTTTTTTTTTCTAGACTGCTATCAGTGTGGAAAGAGAAGGCAGTCAAGTCAGAGAAATTAAATATTTGTTTTTCGTGGGTATAGAGAATTCTATCAACTTTTACTATACAATAAAACTCTGACTCGTTGTTACTGGCCACTTCGCTGATAGCTGTTCATATCAAGTTGCTTTGCTTCAAAACCTCCAGTAATCTCTTTCTAAGTATCAGGGAATTTAAAAGGAGATAGGAAAATTACGAACTATTTTTTTATATCCTTTTTATTACAACACACCCTTTCCTAGTGTGAGTTTAGCTTGGGTTTCAGTCCTTTAATGAGTTCCAGTTTGATAAGTATCCTGGATCCATATGAAGGCCACGTGTATATTTCCTCTAGACATTTGTTCCTCTCATTACACCCTTTATTGTTTTAACACTTTATTAGCCATTGGCAACTCGTAATTTATTGCTGATTTTACAAAAAGGGTGTAACTCATTTGAAAACAGTTCACTGTGTTTTACAACAAACTGGTCTGTCTTCTGGGGAGCCACAAACATATAGAGCACACTAATGGCAAGAACAAAGTACTCATGGTAGAACTCATGATACACATATAGTGAGTAATCGTAAGGGCCTGCAGGTTTAGTTGATATGAAGGCAAATCGAAATGTTATTTGCCAAAATTATTTTTCTTTCATTATGCCCAAAAGTAAATGTTGGTTTGGGAATTCATTATTGCTTAAGATGACTCTCATGTTTACATTGTGGGTAGTAGTCCTTTCAGCCATGTTACCCCTGCCAGTGTGCATTTCAAGTGTGGTTGGTTTGAGCGGGCAGGAAGCAATGTGGCAGCAGTGGCACAAGCTTGCTCTTATTGAAAGCCTAGGCAGCAGTGCCAACAACGAATGGTCTGAAGGTATGATGGAAAACCCAGTAGAGCGTGTGGAAAGACAGCTAGTGATTTCACTAAACAGCAAAATAAACCATTTTCTGCTCTTATTCAAGAACTTCCCCAGTTTAGCTCAAAACATTCAGGAGGAGCAACGCATGAGAAATTTATATGCTCTTCTTCATGCAGTATGCATTAAATGGATAAACAGAGTGACAGGTTCTCCTTAGAGACTACTAAGATGTAATTGTCCTAAGTCCCCATTCAAATAAAACAATTAGGAAAAAAAGAAAATAAATGGATTTCTTCTACTTATATATGTAATATTTTTCTGCTCCTAAGGAGAAATCAATTACACTTAGGTAATTCATATACTCAAATCAACAGAAGTAAGGCTTCTGCTAACACTGGAATATATTGAAACTTAAAAGGCATCAGAAAAAAACTAAAAGAAGAGAATTAAGTGCTGAATTATTGGCTCAAAAGCTCCAAGACTGACTGATTAGTTAAAATACTGGACTCAGGTTTGAGAAGCCCGATTATGTTCTCAGCAGCAACTGATACTTGTTTCCATTTAGAACCACCTTGTTGTTAGGTACCAATGCAACAGCCTACCTCATGGATTATCAACCATGGTTGATCAACCAGCCATCTTCTTCAGTAATGGGAAAAGGCAAACGTGTCTTCATATTCCTTATGTCAAATTTTACACCATAGCAACCAAGCTGCACTAGCTCACTTTTTTTGTAGCTAGCAGACATGGGTTCTATATCTATGTTCAATTTCTGACTCCATCTAATAGGTTAATTTGCTGCAGCATCTAATAAATGAGACCAATTAAGGGAGTAATACTTCAGCTGCCTGTATCCCCTGGAAAACCTAGCTTTAAAGCCTGCAAAGGAAGTAACCGAGATAAGTAAGGTTAGATCACAAACAAACACATAGCGACTAATTCTGCTGTAAGCAAGGTAAAATCTGGACTAAGCTCCCCTCTTCTGGTGTGAGCAGAGCCTTGAGACTTTGTATGACCTCTGCTGTCAATACGGAGGGACACAAAACTACTCGTCGCAAAAATATCTTTCCCCTCAGACAATAAAAACTTTGCCCTCAGCTCTGTATCATGACCAGATAATCAATGGCTGAACAGAATATAATGGTCAGTGAGTCTGCTACTTCCTTTGAAGTAATTGAGACACTTCTGCAAGTCTTAAAAGAAATTTCTACTTTTCACTGTTCTGAATGCAATCTTAATCATATACTCAATCACGAAATAGTCAATCATTTCTCTTTTCTATGAGAGTATAACATGAACCTTTTCTTAATTTATTAATTTGTGTGTTTTAGTAAAGCTTATTGGAATTTTTTTTCCAGTTTTCTGTAATGTATATCTGCAGCAAGGGAATTGCAGCAGTTAGATTGATGATGATTTTGTTCACATCAGTTGCATTGTGGCAGCAGAAATTGCTTATTACTCACAAAAGAGCTAAGTCTAGAATTCTGACTTATAAAGCACTTAACTTTCTTTCACAAGTCTTTCTCACTATTATACCGAGTGGCAGCAGATTTTACTGGCCAGATCAAATGCCACCTAAGGCTGGATCTGCCACATGGCATAGAGAGAATGATAGGGCACAGATACTTATTTCAGCTGAAAAGCTTGCAGACGTCATAATCGCAGATGTTGATAAGCTGTTGATTCTTCATGAACCAGTAGCAGGTTGATGTTGAGTTTGTGAATCCCCTTTCTAAAACTAGTCTGGGGATGGAGACTTTGCTGTGGGAACTGTGCAGTTGTTGCAAGTGTGGGTGATAGTTCAGGGCTGTCCTTGAGTCCTTCAGAGCCTCTTGGCTCACCACCTCAGTGCACTGCTCACGGGGGAGCATTTTGCCATAGCAAAATACTCCCAGCCTAGTCCTGCATTCAAGTTGCACTTGGAGCGGGGAACCTGCTTTCGTTTTTTGACTCCTTGGTTCTACATCTGGTATGACTTTTGATATATTTTAAACAAATACGAAGGCTGCTGTTTCTTATTCCCTGCATCAGTGGCCAAAAAAATGCTACTCTGAAAGACAGGGATGAGGAAGGTTTGCAGTTGTGTTAGCCACCTAGGTGAGATGCAGCTGCAAGAGAGTCTGCACAGCTGTCCCCTCTTCCTCTTCCTCAGTGATAGGAAGGGTAGTGGGATCATGGCAGACAATGTTCTCCTGTATCAGTGTCTCCAGCAAAAATACTGCATGGAAAAATAGACAGTAAGCAGCCTAGGAAGAAGAGGGGGGCATAATATTTCACCCAAAGTCCCTTTTGCTCATCTGTTATCAAGACCATTTGCATCTTCTGTGCTTTGACATCGTGACAGAGAGAATTTCAGGACTAAATTCAAGATGATCACATGTTGTTTTATTTTCCTGCTGTATTTGGTTTCCAGCACCAAACATGAGGTGCAACTTTGGCCCTTGCAGTGTACCTACCAGAGCAGACAGGGTTAAGGAGGGTAAAAAAGGAGGGATTTACCCTAGGCACTGGTTGGTACTTGTGTCTCCTGTGAATGCAAGGGGTGTGTTACACCAGAAAGCAGCCCTACTGAAAGGATAATATGCTCATTCATTTGCTATGTTGGTCTAAGGTAACCACAAAGACCTAGAGCTTGTACAGTGCCAGGTACTCCAAGCAGTACACTAAGATAACATTACCTGGCCCTAGTCCCAGAGAATGACTTTTCCCAGAGTCAAACTGACCAAGCCTTTATTATATTACAAACTATTTAGTTTCTTACACTGCATCAATTTGGTCTTATTGAAGAAACCCATCTGGGAAACTTTCTTAGGACCTCAGATTCAAAAATCCAGTAGGAATTAGCTAATTATTCTCTTACGTCTTTTAAAAACTCCAGGCTTAAAACTCCTGGTTGTGTCAGGTACTGAGGTACAGCCCCAGCTTCAGGTGTAGCTGCAACCCACAGAACAATACACCACGATTTGAGTATCACTTTTAATACGGGCTCAGTTAGTTCATTATTCTCTCCCATGAGTTCAGCCACTTCAATCTCTGCTTTACGCTTGGATAAAGAGTCAAGCTCTTCTACAACCCTATCCCAGCTCCCCACCCTCTCCCCCCACCCCCCGTGCCGATCCCCAGCAGAGTTCAAGAGTGCAGCCATGCAGCCTTTGTCAAACAAGATTCCTGAAGCAACTTCCCCCTCCAGCCTGGGGACTGCACAGAAATCCCCTTGCAAGGGAGTCCTCCCAACCTATGCTCAAAGAAGAAAACAGTTGCTATAGTAACCAGTTCTTTACCTGCACTGAATTGGCTCTCTCTTCCCTCTTAATCTTTGGTTTTATTAGTTCTGGATGAGAAGCAGCTCATCAGGTCAGGGCTGTGCTTGGTTCTGCAGGCTGGAGGAATGGGTGAAAGGCACTGGAGGGGGGTCCTCAACCATCAGGTCGTCGTTGCTTGCTCAGTTTGCACCACTGTCCTTTTGCGACAGTGCCACCCAAGCCACAGAGGGACAGACTCTTTGCTTCCCCTTCCTGCCCCAGCTTGTGTTGGTGCCCTACTGCTCTCCTGTCTAAGAGCTGACCTGCCACCTGCCATCTGTAGCTTTCCTTCCACATCCTTTGCAGCCTCACTGGGATATATTTCAGCCTGCCAGTAGAAAAAGAAACTGGATATAGTCTCTTTTCTTTGATAGCACGTTTTTGTAACTCTTCCTAAAAATGACCACAAAACCCACTGAAAACACTCAGGAAATTCTAAACTGTGATAATCTGTGTCTTTTCCAATATGCCTACTGTGGCCAGGTATTGGACTAACAGTTTTGTGCATTATGAATTCCACTGTGGAAGTGTATAGCTGAAAGCCAAACAAAACTGCTACAAGGAAGAACATGCCAGAGCCACTAGCTGTCTCAAGTTTGCAACGCAGACAAATTGCCTATACAAGGTGGGGCATGTCCCCCTGACAGCAAGTGGGCTGGCAATGAGGTAGGTATGATGTGGTGACTAGGGAGGGGGAAAAAAAGCCACAGAATTAATTACCATGGATGTAATAGTGGTCACCAATAAAAAGCTGCAGAGAATCATGTAGGACAAAGCAGGTAGTGCACCATAACCAGGCACCAGGCACTGTCACTGCTTGTGTTAATTGCTCAGAGCCTGTGTGCTGTGAAGAACCCAAGTGCATTCACTGGACACAAACAGAGCAGGAGCAAGCCAACTAGAAGACTTCCTTCTTATGTTCATGTGGCTTCCATTAACATGAAAGTAAATGCTCTATATTTAAGTATAACACAATAAAAAGATTCTAGAGTACACCTACATGAATATGTTGCTTGAACAATAGGCAGTATTACAGTAAAAATGTGCATACATTTCTAAAACATTTCAAAATGTATTATTTACCCAAATAATGAGGTAGGGCACAGACTAATCTTAAAATGTCCTGGACTTCTAAAATATCTTTTTCCCCCCTCTGTTTTTGCTTGTTACGCAGCAATTTGCTATGCTAAGCATGCTTAGCAATGGACTAACAGCAAGCTGAAGTGATTGATTTGTGATGGAACTTGCAACTCCAGTACTGCTGGTTATTCAAGCATGGTGCAGTTTTTTCCTGTGTTAAGATGTAAAAAAGTGGATTCCAGACATGGATTCCAGACACCATAGTCTTTACTTGGGTGCTGATTATACTTAAGCAGTTGGTATCGTTTCTATGCCATCCTGGCCGAGTTTCCCATTTCAGTCAAAGAATGGTTTCTAGCTGGTTATCTCCCCATGGGCCATTAAACCTCTATCATGGGTGCACTCAGAGTAAGGAGGTGGCAGAGAGAAGTTTTGGAATCTTTGAGGAGCCAAGCCTGCAGCAATGGCAGCAATGGAACTCTGCTGGCAGAGCCTGGGGCAAGATATATGTTTAGGCAAGAGCTTCAGCTATTCCCCTCACTCAGACACATTTGTTCCTTCTCAGTGATAACAAGGAGCAGCTTGAGGTTAAAGAAAGGTCATTAAGGTAGAAAATGTTTCCAAATATGCCACAGTGTGATCATTCATGGTGAACTGACTGCCAAAGAAGTGGTCACTGGACTTAGAGCACACACGTGGAGGGCAGACAGGGTAAATACAGGAGGATCATGAGAACAAAGAAGTTAGAACATTTCAGGGGCCGGCTGTGTTCTTACATACACACAGACACACACATTGATTTTTCAAGTGTTCTAGCCTGAGACCTAGAAAGCTATAGGTCTTGTCTGTTTTACACAGACACTGAGGATTTCTTAACCTATCTGAATAGATTTAAGTCACCATTGCTATTTGTAGGAAGAAATGCATTACTCTGAATTTCCCGGGCTCGTTTATTTTATATAAAAAAATATCTCTTCCAAAAGATCAAATAACATTTTCAAAGTAAGTCCTCTGACCTAGCATCTTTGATTAACAATAACTGCTTATTGTATAGGTCTTTAGATTCTTTCATTAATCTTTTTATTGCAATATTGGCATAAAATGAATGGAGTGGATTTTTGTATGAAACTCCTCATCATCCAGACAAATGGCCTTCCTTCAGAAACAATCACTGATAATGTCCGGGAGGTGAAGGTAACTTTACATAGAACCAGAATGGTTTTGTGATATACCTAAACTTCACAACTGTGGGCTAGTTTTTGACCCCAGAATTAAGCTCACTGTTAATTGTTACCAGATTTAGTGCTGCACACTATAGAGTTTTTTAATGTGGGATTTTGTAAGTAATTAATTTAATCCTATTTTTTTTCCATTTTGACAAAGAGGAATAACACAATTACTTATGACAACTAGAAAATGGTCACCAAGAAATTAATCCAGATTAGAAACCCTCTGAAAACAGAATGAAACCCATTACCCCTCTAACCAGAGCACGTAGTACTCAGTTACAGGTATCTAACAGATTTATGAATTAAATACAACATGATATAATTAATTTCCCCTTTCCATTCTGATGATAGCGCGTGCCAACTGAATTTACAAATCTGGTTTGTTACGTATTAACCAGTCATCTGGGAATCTGATTGAGTAACACACCGATTGTTGCAAAACCAAGACTCCCATATAAATCATGCCTGAGTCCTAAGTAAATATTGGTTCAAATATTGATTCACATGAGAGATAGGGCTGCAGTTTAAGAGGTTACAGGTGCCGACTGAACTACTTTAGAAAGGACCACTCCCTCCGTGTTCATTTGAAATTCACATCAAAGTGTTCATTTCACTTTGAATTCATGAGAACAGAGCACTTGCCTTCACTTTTGATACTGACACTCTCTATATCAGAACCTATTTTTGATGCACTAAAATCAAAGGTATCACATCGTGTATGAGTACTGAGTTATTCAGTTATTTACACTCCAGAGAGATGTAACATCTGGGAAGATGAGAGTGAGACACAAGAATTTATTTTTAGGGAGCATTAAAAGCAAGAGGAGAGGGGAGACATGCAATCTTTTTCCTGTTTATAGATGCTATAACAACTGCTACACAAATAAGCAAGCAAACAAATGGAAAAAAAGAATGTGAAGTGAAGGAAACATCCAACAACAAAATGAAAAACTATCTTTGACACTTTTGAAAATTGAAGGAATCTCTCATCAGTTGAAGGAAGCTCAAGAGAAAAGGAAGCCCCATCCCATTTGTTTTTACACTAACAAGATGTATAGGGACATGCATGTACACTAGCAATCTCCTCTTCCATTGCAATATAGCTATCTCCTTCACTTAGCCTTGAATCCCAATTGTTCTTCTGAGTAGGGCAAGTACAGATCGATCCTTCTGGAAACATTTCGGTTAGAGATCTAACCAAGAATGAGTTCCCCCAAAGTCTCCTGGGCCCTTCTGTCTTAGCAAGTCCTAAGCCAGCATCCAGAGAAAAGAGTGAGTATGCTCCATTCCAACCAGTCTGAACAAGTGGATTGTGAATAACACAAGCCAGCTGCTATAAATCTGCAAGTCTTTTAGATACTCACTTTTAAGAGTGGTTCTGTAATTGCTATGTTGACTAAATGAATTGTTAAGAAAATGGTTTACACCACAGAAATGAAGTTTCTGTTTTGAGCAATTTAAGATAAGTACATTTACATAAAAAGATCTCAACCTGGCATACCTTTATCGCTTAGAATAGCTCATTGCTCTTATTTTTTAAAGGCACAGAAAATAAATCTATGCATTGTTTTACTTTCAGAATGACACAGTTTTCTTAATAATATTTGTAACAACTGTTGGAATCAAAGCTTAGTCACACCACATGAAACACGATATAAATCATAATAGTTTGGAAGTGAATAATGAACACCTAACTAGTCACTGAATTCAGAACAATTAGAATCATAGAATATTCTGAGCTGGAAGGAACCCATGAGGATCCAGGTAAACCATCTGAGAGCATTGTTCAAACGCTTCTTGAGCAGTGACGGGTTTGGTGCCATGACCACTTCCCTGGGGAGCTTGTTCCAGTGCTTGACCACCCTTTCAGTGAAGAACTTTTTCCTAATATTCAATTATGCCAACAAAACCTTCTGTGGGTGACATCTTTACTGTGATATGTTTTCCACAATGTCATGCAGAAAGTTGTTCTTTGAACTCTGTGCAGACTCTCCTTGCCGTGGACTCATCCCATGCATGCTCAACTGAATACTTTTGGCCTGCAGTATCTGCTGTGGTTGAACCTCCCTGTGCTCCATGGAACGAAGAACAGAGCAAATGCAGTTATCTCTCCATTCCTTCTAATTGCCAGTGGCCATGAGACAAAATCCCCACACGTATCATTCCTCAGCACGTTGTGCAATTTTAAACCCTTTCCTTACAAATGTATTAGCATATTCCTCTGAATTGTGCAAGAAATTCTTTTGTCCACTAGTTGTTAAGAATATTTTTTGCTATTGCAGTCTAGCAGCTGCAGCTGAAACAAACTTCTAGTGGTTTCTAGTTGGTCTGTAGCCATATTTTTTTACCCTACAGAAGCTGCCTTTTCTGTCACAGGAATTCAGTTTGCCAGTTCTCTTCAGAATGAGCCTTCTTTTTGAGACAGGATTTGGCCAGACAGAGTTCTGCCTCAGCTTCTCTGAAGACCCTGACATGGATAGTGGGAAAATGCACCCACCCAGAAAGAGCACAGGATCTCCAGCAGCAGCATATGGGACCTCTCTAATGTGACTTCCCGTAGGATATCAGGGATATCAGCTATGCACCTCATCAAAACATATCATGCCTCACAGCCAGATGTCAGATAATGTACACATTGCTGCATCTGTGCAGGAGGATGAGAGTGGCCTTTCCTCACTCATTCTTCCACATATTACTGTGGGATCTGCATCCCAACCACCTGGGAAAGCTTGTGCTGCCATTTGGAGAAATGCCAGCAGCAAATTCAGCAGCAGTCAACATTAGCCTGGAGAACCAAAGCTTGGTGGCACCCAGTAGAATCATGGCTACATTAGACATACGCTGAAGCAACTAATTTAGGAACTAACTCCAAGAAGTGCTGCTCTGGACCCAATGTGCTCCTTTTCTGTTCAGATAAAAACATCTCAGCCACTTTGCAGTTCTCAATGCAACACTGGAGCAGAGAAAGTACTGTAATCAAGGTGTGATTGATTATTGCAGCATTCCCTCCCAGCCCTTC